GAATCAGTGAAAAACATACCCTAAGGTAATTTTTTTTAAAGAGGAAAATAAGAGCTGATTATATTAGTATCATTTTGATAAAAACTAAAATATAAACAGCTGCACTCCTCCATGAATTATACTCAATTACAATAGAATCTAAGTCAGATCTTTTCACTCCTCTGCTCAAAACCCTCAGATGGTTCCCATCTCCAGCACAGCAAAAGTGAAATCCTCACAATAGCCTAAAAGGTCCCAGTAGTTCTGCTCCCATCCCCAATTCTTTTCTTTTCCTCCCCTGAGCTTATCTCCTACCACTCCCTCCTTTGCTCACAGCGCTACAGCACATTGGTCTTCGAACTGGTCCTCTGCCAGGCCTTTAACCGGGTGCTAACCTCTGCCTAGAACATTCCTTTCCCCAGACACTGGCTGGGCTCACACCCCCTCACCTGCTTTCAATCTGCTTAAATATTAGGTTATCTGTATCCCTGCCCACCCTACTTCAAAATGCAACACCTTCCCATCTTTCATCCCAGCTGTATTTTTTCCTAAGGCACTAATAATCTTCTAATTTACAGTATAATTTATAGATTTATTTCTGTCTCTCTTCCCTCCACTAAAAAGTAAGTTTCATGAGGGCTGGTGGAGGGGGGGCATCAGAGCCTAAAACAGGGCTAAGGAATAGGCACATAGGCATCAATAAGAATGTTTCTTAAATGCATGAATTGCAAATGAGGCCATACAATGCCCCTTCTAGGTACAGGAAAACACAATATACCTTTTTTTCACCGCTCAGAACTGAACATTAATTTTTGTATGAAACACTTATTGCTCACCTCCTATGTGCCAGAACTGGGCTTGGCTCTGAAAAGTTACAGTGACTAAGAAATAATCTCTGCCTTGTAGGAACTCCGGGGCGTATACAGCGGGGAGAAGAGACACAGAAACATCGTTACAAAAAAAAAATAAAAAAATCAACATTCAAGGAAGCCAAAGGAAACTGGAGCCTACAGGAGTGAGGGGCAAAAGGGGAATGCTTCACCAAAGTGACAAGGAAGCTATCATTTTCCCCCAAACTCTCGACTAGCAGGTAGTTTCTCTTTATATTATTGGTACGTATGCTTGCAACTCCACATAAATTATTTACTCACATCGGGTAGGCCGCAAAAAAGTTTGTGTGACGATGGCGATGCTAATCACCATCTACTCAAGGCTGCACAAACATCACCCACTTTGTCATTTACTGTCTTCCGATTTGGCAACTTTTGCCGATGGGATCCCCCCGATTTGGAGGCTTGCGCCCGCCAACTGCTGCCGCCTAGGGTCAGAATCCTCCCGGTGGCCATCCCAGCCTCGGAGCTCGGCAACTTGGAAATCTCTTCCGTAGTCGAGGGGGCGGGCGCTGCCTCCGGAAAGCCGCCAACTGGGCCTCCGTAGGAGTTGCGGGAGAAGCGGGAGCCAGGGAGGGCGACCCGGCTCGGAAGGACCTCTCCAGGCCTCAGCCTCGCACTCCCGCCCCTCCCCGTCTTCCCAGGGGCTCCGCCGACTCTTTGTTAACTGAGGCCGCGGTTCCCTGGCTTTCGCTAGGCCCCGCAGTTGCCTCCGGTGCGACCAAGGGGTCGCGGCCCCGCGTCCAGACCCACCTCGCGCAAAACTGCTGCAGTAGCGGCAGCAACTACTACCGCCGCCGCGGAGTCTCACGTCCCGGAGTACGCGCGGTCCAGGCCGCGTCCCGCCGCGCTCCTCCTTCTCCGCCCCTTTCGCCGCCGCCACTCGACCCGTTGCTGACTGGGGGAGGGGAGCACACACCTGACATGCGCAATGCAGAGCGCGGGCCGAAGGGCGGGGTCTGGGTCTGCGATTCCCGGAAAGCGCCGCGGGCTCCTGGCCTTAAAGCTCCAGAATGCCTTGGAGACCGCTCAGGCCGTTCGACGGGGCTCTGCTGCTGGGTCAGGGGTGTCCATAGCCTGTATACGAAATGGGCCTAGGAGGGGAGAAAGAGTAGCAATGACGAGGAGCCGCCCAAAAATTCCAAGAAAAGGGGCTGGGGCGGAAGCCGCATGTACATAAGACCGTCGACCCCCTAAACGCTGGTCCTTTGCAAATACGACCTGGGCAACATCCCTCCTCGTGCCTCCGGCCGCGTGGTTCCATGGAGCATGGCCACCTTCAGCTTCCGGAGCACCACTTCAGTGTGATAACAACTTGACTGAATCCTAGCGGAGAGGGATGGGATTGGCGAGAGCAGTTCCGGCCCCGGGGCCGAGATTATGTAATTTTCCCAGCAGCCCCACCTCACCTCTGCTGGGCGTAGGTGGGGGAGGTCTCGCGCGGTCCCGGAAGCTGCGTCCCGCCCCTTCGCCGCGCGCAGGCGCGGACGGGCCGCACGCAGTCTACGTAACGGATGGCAGAGGCGACGTGACGAGTGGGACGGCGTGACTGAGCTACCGGGTATTGCTGTGTCCTAGAGGCATCAGGGGCACTAAAACCGCGGTGACCGCGCAGGCGGCGGCCAGGCCGCGAGGCCCGTGGGGTAGAGGTGGCAGACGCAGGACCGCTGAGCCGGTTTCTAGCCCCGGTACAGGTAGGAAGCGGGCCGTGGCGTGTGAGTCGGTGGGGGCCGGGCCAGTCCCAAGTGGTCGCTCTCGAGTTGCGTGGCCTAGCCCGGTCCGGTTTCCCACCCACCCCCCTAGGTCAGGCCTGTGGCGACATGCACCGGCCCCCGCCGCTCCTTCTCACTTCTCCCGACTTTCTTAAACCACACAAGCCAGCTTCGCCCACTCCAAGGCCCATGTTCTGTGGGTCTTCCGGATTGGGGTGCTTTTGAACGGTTCTGCGGCACTTCCTCACAGATCTGTGAGCAAATGCCAACCCGAAGGGCAAAGGTAGAGGAAGCTTACAGTATGTAGCAGGAAGAATGGAGTACAGATGTCAGGATGAATTGATTCTCCATAGTGGGGAATGGACCCTGGTGGTTTGACAGAAGCAACCACCTCTGACTGGTCCTCTCGGTCGGGTTCTAACACAAAACGCGTTTTCATTCAATGTGTGCGTGACTTCCAGAAGTCTGGCCATTGTCAGAAAGGCCTACCCAGCGGTTGACCCCTTTGGCGGTCGAATGACCCTTTCATGGGGGTCGCCTAAGACCATCCTGCACATCAGATATTTACATTAGCAATTCATAACAATGGCAACATTACAGTTATGAAGTAGCAACGAAAATAATTTTATGGTTGGGTCACAACATGAGGACCTGTATTTAAAGGGCCAGAAGGTTGAGAACCGCTGGAACAAGTAATGATTTCCCCCACTTATTCCCCGCTGGTTTTGTGAGTCCAGACCCAATCTGTGAGAGGCTGCTGAGTGAGCTTGCAGGAGGTAATGAAACCAGACTTGTTAGTGTTTGTGTTCCCTGCCTAGGAGTCTCATTCAGGACTGGTGGCCTGGCAGGGAATTGTGCAATTGAGAAATGAATTGACAGGTGGAGCAGAGAGACCTGAAAGGGAAGACCAAGGCACAAATGGCTTGGATAATTTTAACCTAAATAACCTAGAAGGCTCTATGTTACAGTGCTGAGTTATCTTAGAAATGCTTCTATGGTGTGAACATTCTACGTGGAAATCCAGCTTGAAATGATCAGACCTTTTGGCAGGCAATTGACTGTGTCAGTGTTAACTTTTATTTGCTTCTACTTGAAAAAGTTTAAACCAGATCTGAAAAAGAAAAACACTAAAAACGAAGTTTTTAAATCTTAAAGAGTGTTCATAAGGCACAGGGGAAGGAAGTAATGGGACCTAATATTTATTGCGTACCTTCTGTGTGCCAGGCACAAGTCTGTACTGCCCACACTACAGCCCTGTGATGCAGTGGTATCTCTTTTTTATAAGTGGGGAGCAGGAAATTTTAAGTAATTAACCCAAGATCATATGGTTGGCAAATGGTAGAGCTGACATTAAACCAAATCTAACTATACCAAATGCTTGCTATTTTTCATGTGTCTTCTACTTTTGACTATCTATACTAATAAAAGGGTAATATGCTAATTAGACCGGATAGATGGACAATCAGGCCCGCAGGGGAGAGCAGTTAAGGGCAATCAGGCAGGCAGGTAGGTGAGTGGTTAGGCGCCAGCTGTCCGGATTGTGAGAGGGATGTCCGACTGCCGGTTTAGGCCTGAGCCCGCAACCCAGGAATGTGCCCTGATTAGGAGTCGAACTGTGACCTCCTGGTTCATATGTCGATGGTCAACCACTGAGCCACGCTGATAGGGCAATGCTGATAAGTATAAGTTTTAAATCTGTCAGATCTGTTTTCCTGTTCATTCCCAATACCACTGCCAGTTCAATCGTGTGCTTTTTTCTTTAAAAAAAAAATATTTTTATTGATTTCAGAGAGGAAGGGAGAGGGAAAGAGAGATAGAAACATCAGTGATGAGAAAGAACTATCGATCGGCTGCCTCCTGCACGCCCTCCACTGGGGATAGGGCCCACAACCCAGGCATGTGCCATTGACCGGAATCGAACCTGGGACCCTTCAGTCCACAGGCTGATGCTCCATCCACTGAGCCAAACCAGCTAGGGCCGTTTTTTTTTTTCTTATCTAATTATTTCAACCACTTAATTTTTCCTGCTTCAGGTGCCCTTTTCCAGTTCACCCTGTGTATGAGCTGTCAGAGATAGTGTCATTCTCCTACTTAAATTCTTTAGTTGATTCTAATTATTCAAACTTATTAGTGTGGCATTTAAGTAAAGATCATTATGATCTGGTCCCTGTTGGCTTTTCCAGCCTCATTTCCCCCTCTTGAGTCTATAAACCCAACATCCTATCAAACTCCTACAATATGTTATTTTAGGCCTTTATGCATAACTATTCTTCCATCTGCAGTGCCTGTTCTTGCATGCAGAAACCATGCTTTTTAATTTTTTAAAGAACTTTTTCTTTTTATTACAAAAGCACATCATAGGAAAATTAGAAAACATAAAGAAAAATAAGGCAAAATGCCCATAGTCCTACCATACAAAGTAATTATTATTTATATGTAGATGTATATACATCCTTCCAAACTATTTTGTTTACACGTATTCGCTTCTAAAATAATATGGATTCTAACTTCATTTGTAACAATTTTTAAAAAAATATATATTTTATTGATTTTTTACAGAGAGGAAGGGAGAGGGATAGAGAGTTAGAAACATCGATGAGAGAGAAACATCGATCAGCTGCCTCCTGCACATCTCCTACTGGGGAGGTGCCCGCAACCCAGGTACATGCCCTTGACCGGAATCGAACCTGGGACCCTTCAGTCCGCAGGCCGACGCTCTATCCACTGAGCCAAACCGGTTAGGGCCATTTGTAACAATTTTTAATGGACAAAAAGTAAATTTGCTTTTTGTATATACCCACGGTTTAACCAAACAATTTCAAATTTTCCACTACTATAAGTAATACTGTAACACATATCCTTGAAGCTGAATTCTTGTGCAAATTTACAATTATTCAGGAGTTATATTTTACTCTCTTGGCTTAATATCTGACATGGTAGTATGTTCAGTGAAGGTACATTTATTTAGATATCGTAGGATCATTTTATGAAAAGCAGTAAAAGCCAGAGTTCTTATATTATTCTGCAGGACTTGCTAGCTTTTGATGGTTATTGAATCCTTAGGTAGCAAAAGTTGCATTTTAGAAAAATGGCCATGATTTTTATGGAAAGTTGAGACAAGGGAGACCATTTAGGAAAATACTGTGGTTCTTCAGCAGGTGGTGGTAGCTTAGGTTATGGTGGCTTTAAGAATCAAAGGAAATACCAGGATTTGGTGGCTGATTAGATTTCAAAGGGAAAAGAAAGTGAGAAATTAGATATCTTGCTTTTTTTTCAGTAAGTAAGATTGGGAAAATGGGGTTAATATTAATATAAAAATAGAGATATTCAGGTACCTGTTGATTTTGAGACAGTTGTAGAGGAGGGATCTGCAGACTGAGATGTGGACTATTTTTGTACAGCCTGTGAACGAAGAGTGGTTTTTCCCATTTTAAAAGGTTTTACAAACTTTTTATTTTGTGTTAGTTTAGTCTGTACAGCATAGTGGTTAGACAATAATATACTTTACAAAGTGGTCTCCCCAATATTTCAGGTATGCACCTGGCCCATATATAGTTATTGTAATACTAGTTATTACGGGTGGGGTCCCTCTGCCTGGCTGGTGATCGCCCAGTTCCAATTGAGGCTGATGGGGGTTAGCTGGCCCAGGAGGGACCATGGGAAGGCTCCAGGGCATGTCCAGCCCTCTCGCCCAGGCCCTCTTGCCCAGTCCCAATTGCCGGACCCCAGCAGCAAGCTAACCAACCGTTGGAGCATCTGCCCTCTGGTGGTCAGTCTGCATCATAGCGACTGGTCGAGGTGTTGACCAAAAGTTTGACAGATCAGTCGGACACTTAGCATATTACGTTTTTATTATATAGGATTATTGAATATATTCCCTATGCTGTACTTTACATCCCCATGACTATTTTTGTGACTACCAATTTGTAGTTTTTAATCCCTTCACTTTTCCCCTCAGGCCCAACTCCCAATCCCCTCCTCTAACCCCCCACCAGGCTCTGGCAAGTATCAGTCTGTTCTGTGATTCTAGGAGTCTGTTTCTATTTTGTTTGGTCATTTATTTTGCTCATGTATTGTTTTCATTACCACCAACAGATAAGTAGTTGCATCTCATTCTTATTATATCCCTCCCCAGTTCCTATATAAAGTTTTTCAAAAAATGCTTACTGAATGCACAGTGTAAAAGATTTTACAGATAATTAGTGACAGAATCCAGCTGAGAACCTAGGCCTCTTTACCCCCACCTCATTGTTTTTTGTGATGCTTTCTAAAATGAATAATATTGAGAGAAAAGTAGGAGAGTGTCATAGATATATATCTTTTGTTTCCAAATTTGATCAGTGTATAGAGTAGCAGTCCATTTAGGTTTTGTGTGTTTTTTTTTAAGGTGCCATGAAAGTCTTCCTTGCTTTCTGTGTTGTCCTTTTGGTGTTTGGGAGTGTCTCTGAAGCTAAGTTTGATGATTTTGAGGATGAGGAAGACATAGTAGAGTATGATGATAATGACTTTGCTGAATTTGAAGATGTCACAGAAGATTCTGTTACTGAATCTCCTCAACGGGTGATTACCACTGAAGATGATGAAGACGAGACCACTGTGGAGTTAGAAGGGCAGGATGAAAACCAAGAAGGAGATTTTGAAGATGCAGATACCCAGGTGAGGTTTTTTTTTATTGATTTTTCGGGAAATTGGAAGGATGGGAAAATTTTTAACTAGCACTTTTCCCAGACTTTAAAAGTAAGACCCAGGTCTAGGGAGATGTTTACTCTCTGGTATCTTCATTTTTGTTTAGTATGTGGAGTTCTTCTAAATGTTTTGTGGTGTTTTCCCACCTTTCACATTGATGGAAAAATGAATTGTCTTTCTCCTCTTTGGAAAGCATGGGGTGGGGGGTTGGAAGTGATAGAGGATGGATTCTATGCGTGGATGGGAATTATATCATTTTGAACTCAGGGTTCAAGAGTATTGGAGAGTCATTTGTTAAAAACATGTAATATCTCTGTGTTCTGTACTTGTTGCTAACATGTTCTATTTTCCTCTACAATTGTTGCCTTCAAAAAAGAGATATAATTGCTGGTGACATGTGTAGAGAAAAACAGATTGCTGCCTCATTTTTGTAGGAGGGAGATACCGAGGGTGAGCCATATGATGATGAAGAATTTGAAGGTTATGAAGACAAACCAGATACTTCTTCTAGCAAAAATAAAGACCCAATAACAATTGTTGATGTAGGTATACCGGATTCTAAATTCCAAACTAACCAACAAAATATCTTACTGTTATTAATCCCAGAAATATAATTAGTGACATGTAGCTGGTGTTGATATAATAGTGGTAGCTATGAAAGAGTTTGACATCAATTCTTCTCATAAAACTCCACACCTATAGAGGCAATCCCTGTGTTTTTGTTCTAGTCCTCATAGTTTTATTTATTAAGGAATGATGAAGATGATAGCCATTGGATTTATTTTGGGGTGGGAGTCAGAATCAAGTTTAATACAAAGGGCTTTCCATCCTTTTATCCTACTTGACTGTCTTCACATTTCCTTAAAGAGTCTTTTACAGAGCCAGCCTGGAAAATCAAAATGGGCATGTTTTTCAAAGTATAATCATATTTAGTGACCGTTATTTAAAGTATCTACTTCTGTTTATGGGTTTTTTCGTTGTCCTTCATTCCATTAGTTAGACTCCATCCTTCAGCCTCAACTAACATTAAATGGAATAATTGTTTTTCTTTAGGTTCCTGCACACCTCCAGAACAGTTGGGAGAGTTATTATCTAGAAATTTTGATGGTGACTGGTCTGCTTGCCTACATCATGAACTATATCATTGGGAAGAATAAAAACAGTCGCCTTGCTCAGGCCTGGTTTAACTCTCATAGAGAACTTTTGGAGAGTAACTTTACCTTAGTAGGTAAGTTAGGCTAATAGAAGTCCTGCTGTGGGCTTGGAAAACATCTAATAAGAACTGTTTATTCCCCTCAGTATAAGTACCTAACTGCTTTCAGGGACTGCCAAAGAGGGTGCTTTTTTATTTTCTTTCACGGGATCCTGTTTTTGTTAGGTTTTATATGCTGAATAAATTGTATTTATGAAATGATTTTCTCATCTGTTATTAATCAACATTTGCTAAAGAGCAATTGTTTCAAAACATTTGGATAAGAGTCTGGCTGAAAGCAAGGAATTTTAACATTTTAAGTAGCTTGATAAATACTTTCAGTTCATCTTTTAGAAATTAGAATTCTCTCAGGTTCTAGGCACTTGAGTTTCTGATCCACTGAAGAGGTGTGTACACTGAAGTACAGGAGAGGAGCCCCTGCAGTTGTATAGTGTAAAGAGTAAGGTGGACTTGCCCACCTTCAGCTCTGTTTGGCATTTAACACTTTGTTTCCCTTTAATAGGAAGCAAGTATGCATCTGCTCTGCTCTTTAGCAGACTGTTTACATGTTGTGCTAGGGACTTTGCATATATTGTTTCTCATTTAGACTTTGTAACAATACTGTCAGTTGGAAAGTTTCTTTTTTCCTAAGGAGGGGACTGAAATCCAGGAATGCTATTTTCTTGCAACCATGATATATTTAAACTTAGTATACATGCTTTCAAATTCCATGCTGTCTCTGCTGTACCATATTATTTCAGAGTACTTATTCACCTGGACATTAGGAAAATAATAAGCCGCCTTTAATGCCTTCCACTTCCTCTCATGTGTTTTCATTTGGTGTGTCAGTCTTGCTTTACCTTGTGAGGTTCAGCACTTTCTTTCATACATTAATTAAATGAAGTGAGAGAATGGTTGGAATTTTAGCTTTTTCTAGATCTAAAATACAGCTCTTAATACCACTATTATTTTGCTGTTGAAAAAGCAAACTTGGTCAAAGTTAAGTCATACACATGGTGAGGGAGTGTTAAATAGTTTGTAGTGATGGTATTTTTTTATTATTATTCATTACATTGGGAGTATTTTTTAAAAATATATTTTATTGATTTTTTTACAGAGAGGAAGGGAGAGGGATAGAGAGTCAGAAACATCGATCAGCTGCCTCCTGCACACCCCCTACTGAGGATGTGCCCGCAACCAAGGTACATGCCCTTGACCGGAATCGAACCTGGGACCCTTGAGTCCGCAGGCTGACGCTCTATCTACTGAGCCAAACTGGTTAGGGCAGTATTTTTAACTTTGGGGAAAAACATTTAAACTGATTTTGCTCCATTTTTTATCTACTCTTAAGAAACTTATACTGAAGCTGACTGTCTAACGAACAAGAACATAGTAGTAATGCTAGAGTATGATTTTTTTATGGAGACAATAGAGTTTTAAAAGTAAAAGGAACGATGCCCATTTGTTGTCATGTATGTTCAAAGGAGAGTTCTATATGATCTCAAAGTATTGCCACCCTAAAACTCTGATCATTGTGGGGTCAGAGTGGAGGAGGGAGTGGTAATTAGGCCTCAACACTTTTAGGGAATCACATTAAGTGGTTTACTCCTAGGGGATGATGGAACAAACAAAGAAGCCACAAGTACAGGAAAGCTGAACCAGGAGAATGAGCATATCTACAATCTGTGGTGTTCTGGTAGAGTGTGCTGTGAGGGGATGCTTATCCAGCTCAGGGTAAGTAGGGAATTTCTGGTGCAATGTATATGTCTTGTATATGTCTACCTTTTGTTTTTTCCAGCATGATTCAAAATCCTCTAAGTTTAGTGTCTTCAAGGAGGTCTAAAAGTCATCTTCTACTACTAACTGTCAAATGTCAAGTATATTTCACACATCTGATTCTCTCTCCAGGGTCTCTTCTTTGTAGTAAGTGGAGGTAACAGCTGTTCTCTCTTTTTCCCCCACCCCCCCAGTTCCTCAAGAGACAGGACTTACTGAACGTCCTGGCCCGTATGATGAGGCCAGCAAGTGATCAAGTGGTATGTATTCTTGCTGTTTTTCTCTGTACAGATCGAATTCTTAATTTCTTAGAGCTTATTCCATTTATTGTTTAGATTCCGTTTGGAGTTACTGACAACTTGTGTACTTTGTCAGAAAATGGGCCCTTCTCTATTTGCACAGATCATTGTCCACTCAGTGTGTAGCTGTGGGTGGAGGTGCGTGTGATTAGGTCAGTCACCTGGATAATGTCTCTTTTGATTAATAGCAAAGTCAGCTGATTAGGGACCTTCTGCTACATAACACAACAGAATCATGGGAGTGATACCCCATCATTTCACAAGTCCTGTTCCCATTCAAGGGGAGTATGTACGTATACACCAGGGGAATCTTCGGGGCCATCTTAGAAATAGGCCTATCACAGAACCTAACAGGTGAGTTTTGTTTGTTTTTTGTTTTTGTTTTAATAGCAAATAAAAGTAACCATGAATGATGAAGACATGGATACCTATGTGTTTGCTATTGGTACTCGGAAAGCCCTGGTACGACTGCAGAAAGAGATGCAGGATCTGGTATGTTGACTATTATAACTCAAACATACATAGAAATTGTGCCTAATTATTACATAGATGTTCAGCTTCAGAGCATAGCATAATTAATCACTTTGAAATAGGTCAGTACATATTCTCTTGAGAAGAAAACGTCTGTGCTTAATAAAATGTCACATCTTACTTTCAATTACTTCTTCCTCTAGAGTGAGTTTTGTAGTGACAAACCTAAGTCTGGAGCAAAGTATGGACTGCCAGACTCCTTAGCCATCCTGTCAGAGATGGGAGAAGTCACAGAGGGAATGATGGATACAAAGGTAAGTGTGATGGAAGGCATATATTTGCAGACCTTGGCATTTGCAAGGTACTCTCCCTAAAACTCACGCTGTACAACAGCGGTTCTCAACCTGTGGGTCGCAATTTGTAACAATGAAATTGGGGGTCACCACAACATGAGGAACTGTATTAAAGGGTCACGGCATTAGGAAGGTTGAGAACCACTGCTGTACGAGTTCTTCATTTATGATAGTGTATTGATTATGTGTTCCTTTCCCCAAAATACTCTAATTCTTTCTTTAAGCAATAGATTAACTTGTCAAAAAAAATTGTTTAGTGAAGAATTCTCTAAATCCAGAGCAAATTATTCCTAGGATTGCTGATGGCTTTTAGTTTTTTTTAAAAAAGGACTACAACTTTTATCTTTATCACCATGTCATTTAGTCCATTATTTTAGTTTCAACTAGTGTAAGAGAAGAGGGATGTATAGAGAGCCATGTTTTTTTTCTATTGGTTGTATAATGGTAACAGTACATCTTAATATCATAAAAATGTAGGCTAGCTCAAAGACAGTTATAAATGTAAGTTCAAGGTGATATGTTCATGAAGAATCTCCTAAAATTATTTAAGATTTTATCTCCATGCTTTTATTCTTATTTAGAACATTAGTTTGAGACATATTTTCAGCTGCTCAATAAGAATATTTAAGCATTGGTGTTACTAAAGAAAAGGTACAAGTTTCATTATAGAGAAATTCCTTATCTTATTTAAATTAAAATTTTTAAAAAAATATATTTTATTGATTTTTTTTACAGAGAGGAAGGGAGAGGGATAGAGAGTTAGAAACATCGATGAGAGAGAAACATCGATCAGCTGCCTCCTGCACACTCCTCACTGGGTATGTGCCTGCAACCAAGGTACATGCCCTTGACCGGAATCGAACCTGGGACCCTCGAGTCCGCAGGCCGACGCTCTATCCATTGAGCCAAACTGGTTAGGGCTAAATTTAATTTTTTAAAAGCTTTAGCCTTAATGACATTGTACAATAGCAAGGAGGACTGAAGAGTAAATATCTTTATGAAAAAAGGGAAATACATCAAACCCTACTTTAAAATATAATAATTTTCTCTATTTCAGATGGTCCACTTTCTTACACACTACGCTGACAAGATTGAATCCGTTCATTTTTCAGACCAGTTCTCGGGTCCAAAAATTATGCAAGAGTACGTATGAAATAAAAATACTGAATATGATTTTCTTCTTTAGCTTTCTGTGTTGAAACACCTGCAAGATGCTTCTGCAGTTTCCCTTACCATATGAGTGAGGGAAGTTCATGACTCCCAAGTTTCCTTTTGCTTTGACTACATGCATCAGGAAGGTAGTTGGAAACCTATGGGAGATAAACAAGCCTCCCCAGTTTGCATGTGTTGCTGCATGTGTGCACCGTGCACTCAGTGACATGGAAGAGAATCTTACAAAATGGCTCATGTAAGAAAATGCAATTGCTACTCTCTGTCCTTTGTAGTCTGTTCTTTTTTTTCCTTTTTTCAATTTATGATATGAATCTGTAATGTTTGATTGATTGCAAATCTGGCCTTTTCTGGCTTCTGTTTTTGTATAGTGGATGCTTATATTCTTTCCTAGTATATTATCAAACACGTTAAATACTCATAGTAATATTTATAGTAATATATTTCAAATGTACGTATTCAGGGCTTGAATTTGTTGTTTGAATTCCAATTTGTTGTTGTATGTTCCCATTTCAGGAGAACATACTTATTTAAGTTCACCCTTGGTGTAGAAATGGTTCTGGCCTAAATTTTTGATTAAGGGTTACTCTCTCATAGGCTGTGGAGTTGAGTACAATTAAAAGCCATTCTGGATTTTTATTGTGTGTCAGAATTACTCAGGTCCTTTTGCCTTTAGATGGTGTTGCATCATCCTTGCCTTGCTTAACTCGATATCAACACCGTGGGCAAAATACCACATTATGGTAACTGTGGAACCTTTTGGGGTGGGGGAGAGGCGAGTTGATAGTCAAAGATTACAAGGGAATCTTTGGTGAGTCGGAACTAAATTATATATGCTATAGTTGATGATTTCTAAACTTATTCTAAGCCTGGCGCAAAAATAAGATACTTCATTATAGGAAGGAAGATAAAATAGGAGTTGGAAATAGAACATAGAAACTCATCAAAATAAGCAGAAATGTTATTTAAAATATGGGCCTCTTACTTAAATGTAGGCTTATTTCTGGTTCCCCAGGTGAGATGGAATATATCTTGCCTGGAGGGGATATCACTTGGAGGTGTTCAAGTATAGGATAAAGGTCACTTGGGAATGCATTCATCAGTTAGGCAAGTGGATCAGGTGACCTGTAAAGCTCCTTCAGGCTCTGAGATTATATTTGACTATGGGATGCCAAGTCAAATACTATGCTGATTAATTGTAGGTATCTATTCATCTAAGTGAACTGGGTAATTTATATGCGTAGAGAATATCTTTCTTGTGTTCTTTCTAAATAGCCTTTTCTTTCATGACAGGGAAGGTCAGCCTTTAAAGCTACCTGAAACTAAGAGGACACTACTGTTTACATTTAATGGTAAGTATCCCATGTCCTGTCTGGGTTCTTTGTTTTCTGAGAGATGACCTTAAGGAGAGTATTGTTCCCTCCTAAGTGACAGCTATAAAAAAAACTATATTAGCCCTAACCCGTTTGGCTCAGTGGATAGTCGGCCTTCGGACTGAAGGGTCCCAGGTTCAATTCCAGTCAAGGGCATGTACTTTGGTTGCGGGCACATCCCCAGTAGGGGGTGTGCAGGAGGCAGCTGATTGATGTTTCTCTCTCATCGATGTTTCTAACTCTCTATCCCTTTCCCTTCCTCTCTGTAAAAAAATCAATAAAATATATTTTTTAAAAAACTATATTATTTAAATATAGCTGGTTTGACTCAGTGGATAGAGTGTCAGCCTGCGGACTGAAGGGTCCCAGGTTCGATTCTGGTCAAGGGCACATGCCTGGGTTGCGGGCTCAATCCCCAGTGTGGGGCATGCAGGAGGTGGCCAATCACTGATATTTCTCTCTCTCTCTCTCTCTCTCTCTCTTCTCCTACCTCTCTGAAATCAATAAAAATACATTAAAAAACAAACTACATTAAAACAAACCCCATGCCTTCTTATTGCTGTTGGTTTTCTTCAATAAGAGATCCTTGTATATACTTTAATTTATATTTTCTGTTGCATTTTAGCTGCCTAAGAAAAAAGGAGTTTATTAATTAAAAAAAGAGAGGGAGCTGGCAACTCAGAAGTATTAATGCTCTGTTAACTCAATAGGAAATTGCTTTGTTTTCCAGTGCCTGGCTCAGGAAACACTTACCCAAAGGATATGGAAGCTTTGCTACCCCTGATGAACATGGTGATTTACTCTATTGACAAAGCCAAAAAGTTCCGACTCAACAGAGAAGTAAGACTGCAGCCTTTATCCTAAGTTGGCACCTGTTATTTTTTTCCTCTGGGGGAATCATCTATCGAGGATTTCAGTGATTGTATCTTTGCTACTTTACTTGAAAGTGCTAAATGGGAGTAGTTTTATGAAAGAATACTAAATGGGCTTTTGCTTCTGTTGAATTAAAATGGATTTCTTATGAAACTCTTTGTTTCTTGGGGAAAGGGCAAACAAAAAGCAGATAAGAACCGAGCTAGAGTGGAAGAGAAATTCTTGAAGCTGACGCATGTGCAAAGACAGGAAGCTGCACAGTCTCGGCGTGAGGAGAAGAAAAGAGCAGAGAAGGAGCGGATCATGAATGAGGAAGATCCTGAGAAACAGCGCAGGCTCGAGGTAAGACCAACTTTTCTTATTACTGGGGTAAAACTAAGATTTATAAGGATACCTATTTGTACCAAATTGGCTCTTAAGGTAATTTTGTGGAGGAATGTACACAGGCTAAAAGTTTAGCATTTTCTCAGTACTTGGGACCTTCAGTTAGTTAGTGGCACTTGAAGAATAGGGCTTCAAACCATGTTAGAGTGAGTCTGATCCTGGAGAATGATATGAATTACCCTATTCCCCCTGCACAATCTTATTTTGCAAGTTAAACTATCATCTTTCAAGCCAAATACTTACTGAAGTAGAAAATAGGAATTTTAATAGAAGCCAGCACATGTACCCTATGGTTCAAGTAAACTTGTTTTATAACATTTCTAATTTCATTATAGAATTAGAGACTTATGATATTATTTTTTTGTATTTTTGGTGTCTATTTTGTACATAACTAGATTTTCAAACTTAAGAGCTTTTTAGATTGTGGTATATTATGTTTCAGATACCAGCATGTTCTCACATTTTTGTGAAGTAAGATACCATAGTCCAGCTCTAAAATTTTAAATCTTATAAATGCTGATCAGAAAAAGAGGAGGAGAACAAAGTTCTGGGTGATGTGGCACTTTAGTTGCCTGTAGAGTCATTAAAGCTGTTGAGCCAAGTGCCCAGGATACCACAGGCGTCCTCTCATCTTATCATTTCTCATCATTTTTCCTTTAGTTTAGTCTATGGGAATTTTTCCTCTGAAAATAGAGCTGTGTGTTTATGCAACCTTCTGTATAAATAAAAATGGCTTTTTAATGAATACACTGGAACAATCTACATGGAATCATTAATAGATAATGCCTTTCATTTTTCTATGAAAAAAGTTTTCTAGTTCTTTCCAGGGTTTGAAACTACAATAGGTTTAAGAAAAAGGAGGGCCCAGAACTTAAGTCAGAAGTGAACTAACCTTAATTCTACCATGTAAAAATAAAATAATCCTTTACACAACTCTCATGCCTAAAGGTAACCACTGTTACCTTTTAGCTTATAACTAAATATAGCTTATTTAGTTCCCCAACTCTATATATGTTTAGTGTGCATACAGGGATCAACCAATGAGTGCATAAATTAGCAGAACAGCAAATTGATGTTTCTCTCTCTCAAATCAATTTTTAAAAAAAGATCTTATGCTTTTCTGAAATGAAGTACAAATCCTTGGTAAATTCATGTAATTGTTATGTTGAAAGTGCACCTAGTGTTTCCTGGGTATAGGAAAAATCAGACCAGACTAACAAAGCCAACTTAAATATAGTATTTAGTTTCTGATTTGATATTGTAGTTACCGTTGCTTCATTTCAAGTTAATTTTTGTTAACCAATGTAGATATTAGCAATTTTTAAAACTATCTTCTGGAATGTTGTTTATAGTACAAGTCTAGGTTTTTGAATAATATTATAGGCAGTATTCTAGTTTTGATTTTTTAAAAATCTGTGCTTAGAGCTTAGTTTGGATTATCTCTGTCTGTCTGTCTGTCTCTCTAGGAAGCTGCCTTGAGACGTGAGCAAAAGAAATTGGAAAAGAAGCAAATGAAAATGAAACAAATCAAGGTGAAAGCCATGTAAAGTCATCTCAGAGATCTGAGTCCTGCTGCCACCTATAAGCTCTGTATTCACAGGGAGCGTTAAAAATATCAGTCCATTTCTCATCTGAAAGTTTAAGCACTCCCAGTGACTGAGAAATCCTTATTTCATCATCTGTTCTGTTTTTGGTTTAGAATTTACGGAAGTTAGAAATACATAGGAAGGACTCTGTTTCAGTAATTTTCTTCCAGATAATCACATTATTTTGATTATTTTACAAAAGGAATGATATGTGAACTCTGTAGTTTTAAAATACTTTTAAAATTATAACATGAATCATCAGTGCTTTTAGTGCTATTATATTTGAAGAAATATCATGAGTTTATAGATAAACAATTAGATTATTGCTTTTTATTTAAACTAGGCAGTTGAAATGGCTATAAAGAATGACCCTAAACCAAGATTCCACAAATAACAATAAACATTGCTTGTTTTCTTGTGTGTCTACATTAAACTTGTAAAAAAATAAAATTTAGAACACTATCTGTGGTGTTGAAATTTCAGGGACTCAGAACAGTGTAGTTCACTCTATCTGTTTTGTAGGTGGAGGGTGCTGATGACAGTATTATAGGGTATCCAGATTTTAGGGTACTGACATGTACTGGAAAATTCTACAGATAGTACAGGAGCACAGTTCTCTCCTTACCTGATACCATAAGCTAATGACATTGTGAATGCTGTATTTTAAGTGGTTGTATGTTTTTCTTGAGTTAAATGCATGAAAAATTACCTGCTTCACCTAGAGCAGATCAGTGGTCTACGTGAAGTCGAAGATGTTTTCCTTCTTGGTTGCCTCACCCTATTGGATGTTCATGGAGAAGTTCTCTTCTCTGTGTTGTGGCTGTGTCCCTTTGCTTCTCCTGCTTTTATCTCTTCCACAGCTGAGGCTGGGTATATTTTTTCCAGAGAAATAGCCATGAATATGCATAAATACACTTTTAAAAATGAGCTTTCCTAAACTATTGAGAGTTCTGCCTCTTGAGCATGGGTGGGGAACCTTTTTTCTGCCAAGGGCCATTTGGATATTTATAATATCGTTCTTGGGCCATACAAAATTATCAACTTAAAAATTAGCATGCTGTCCTAGCCAATTTGGCTCAGTGGGTAGAGTGTTGGCCCGCGGACTAAAGGGTCCCAGGTTTGATTTCAGTCAGAGTTGCGGGCTCGATTCCCAGTATGGGGTGTGCAGGAGGCAGCTGATCAATGATTCTCTCTCATCATTGATGTTTCTATCCCTCTCCTTCTCTAAAATCAATAAAAATATATATATTTAAAATTATCATGCTATATTTGGTCAGGCATTTAATTAACTCATCCCTAATGCCTGGCAGGGCCAGACCAAATGATTTCATGGGCCTTATACAACCCTTGGGCCAGACGATCCCTACCCCTGCTCTTGAGAAAGGAACTCTTGGGGGAGAGGCCCATTCATCTGCACGAGCATTTAGCTTGTTCAGATTTCTGCATTTTATAAATGCTTCCTAGTAAGAAAGCATTTTTTTAAGTCACTGCTTCACCAGGTAATTTTTGCTGGGGATGGGAAAGGGTTGGGTTTTTTGGTGGGAGACGGGTGGGCGGGTATATTTTTGCTGATGCTTTATGTGCAGGTGTGTTCTGAGGCAATAAAGTTGCTGTGGAAACAGAATGTGCTGCTGCCTTTGAAACTGCATGGAAACTTTTCACATGGGTTTTTCTCTTAGTTAATGAAGAAATGTGTCAGCTCGGAAATGCAAATGTAATTTTTTAAAACAGTTCATGAAATTAAGTTATTAAAAATAACAAGACTTAATGCTATATAATTCTAGAATTAGCCTTGTTTTACAAACCTTTAAAATACATTTTAGAAATCAAAATTGATATGCTTAGCTATCTTTAATAAAAGCTTTCTTAAAGTCCCACACATTTGGGCCATGGCAGCTAATTTTGTAATTTAAGCATTCATATGAATGGTAACCTATGGACATATATTAAACTCATTGACAAAAATCTCAGAGTGCCGCCTTTACTTTTCTCGGGTTTCTCTACAACAGTATAAGCCCACAGGAATGTTTTTTCTGTTCAGTAAAAATCACTTAAATGCTTTTCCTTCAAAAGAGTTGGCCTTGACAAGAATCCCGTAATTGTTGCCAGTTATTTTTTAAATATTTCTATTTTTAGAACTCCATCTGTTATTGATCGGCTACTCCCTGAAGTTCCCTTCTTGAGTTAGAGGACACCATTATCTTCTAGGAATCAGAGGACAGAGAGAAGAGAATGTTGTTAACTGTCACACATTGGAAAACCACTAAGCTCTCCAATCTTGTCTGCATTGCCTGGGCACTTAGCAACGCTGAAACAAGCGCTGGACTGGGAAATAAAACCTGGTTTTTAGTGCCAACAAAACCAATAACAAATCCTTTGACTTAGGGCAAGTCCTTAACCTCTTTGAGTCTCTGTTCTGTTCTTCCTCCTACAAAGTAAGGATCGTAATTATTTTCTCTACCTACCTCACAGGTATATCAACACCAAGAGATAGTATCTGTAAAATTCTCTTCTAAACTATAGCATTGTAAAAATGTTAGGGATGTGCCCTGGCCAGGTGGCTCAGTATTGGAGTGTAGTTCCATGCACCCAAAGGTTATGGGTTCGATCCCAGTCCGGACACAAACCTAGGTTGCGGGTTTGATACCTGGTAAAGGAGCAAACAAGAGGCAACCGGTGGATGTTTTTCTCTCTTTCAAAAGTCAACAAAACAAAAAAAATACAACATATCCTCAGGTGAGGATTTTCAAAAAAATGTTAGTGGCCTCTGGCTCTCCCTGTCCGAAGCACGCCAGCACCTTTCCCATTCCCCTCTTCTTCCCCCAAGTGTGTTACCTTTGCTTTTCCCCTCTAAGCCAGTGGTTCTCAACCTGTGGGTCGCGACCCCTTTGGGGGTCAAACGACCCTTTCACGGGGATCGCCTAAGACCATCCTGCATATCAGATATTTACATTATGATTCATAACAGTAGCAACATTACAGTTACGAAGTAGCAACGAAAATAATTTTATGGTTGGGTCACAACATGAGGAACTATTTAAAGGGCCAGAAGGTTGAGAACCGCTTCAAGGGTTCTTCTTTGCTTCTATAACTTGTTTCCTGAGCCTGCCCAGCCCAACTGGCTCACGTCTATGTAACTTTCTAAAAAAACTTTCTCTTATAATTTGAAAAAAAATTAAATGAAATTTAAAAATTAAAATGTGCCCTTGCCAGGTAGCTCAGTTGGTTAGAGCGATGTCCTAATACACCAAGGTTGGGGTTCCATCCAGGGTCAGGGCACATAAACGAATCAACTAGTGAATGCATAAATAAGTGGAACAACAAATCGATGTCTCCCCTCCACCCCCACCCCTCTCTCAAAAAAATAAATCACCTAGGACTGTTTTCCAAGTGGTGCATTTTTGCTTTAATCTCGTGTTTATTTCTCCTAATAGAAACCAAGCAGATCCTTTCAGAGTTCTCTAACTTTATCTGCAATATTTGACTTTTTTTGTGGGGCAGGGCAATAGTTTATAATTCTGTTTCCTTAGTAATAGAACCTTTTCCTGTCAAGCACCAAGATGTGAATCTCCTTCAGATGAGTCTTAGACCAAAGAAATACATTGACTGGTACTCTCACTCCACTCATCCAATAGAAATGGGCAATGTGAAAATTATTTAGAGCAGTGTCTACAAGGATCTATTTTGGTGGGAAGGGTGAAATATGGTAGTTTATCATCCGGGATTCTCTCTCCTTTACTGTTCCTGCCTTCACTCATTTTGAATGATTTGAAAGGATGTAAGGGGGAGACATTTATACCCATAGGAGTGGCTTCTATTACAGACTGCTAAAGCAATAGCAAAAAGTATTTTTTTAGTTTCTGGAGTTTGGTGAGCGATGTGTCATCAATGTTTCTATCTCTCCCTCTCCCTATCTAAAAATCAATAAAAAATATCAAAATAGCCCTAGCTGGTTTGGCTCAGTGGATAGAGCGTCAGCCTGCAGACTCAAGGGTCCCAGGTTCAATTCCGGTCAAGGGCATGTACCTTGGCTGCGGGCACAGCCCAGGTGGGGAGTGTGCAGGAGGCAGCTGATCGATGTTTCTCTCTCATCGATGTTTCTAATTCTATCCCTCCCCCTTACTCTCTGTGAAAAATCAATAAAATATATTTTTAAAAATATCAAAATAAAGTTTTAAGAATAAAAGGCATTCATACCTTTTTGTTTTTAGATATTTTTAAAAATATGTTTTTATTGATTTTAGAGACAGAGGGAAAGGGATAGAGAGATAGAAACATAGATCAGTTGCCTCCTGCTCACCCCCTACTGGGGAGCAAGCCCAAATCCCTGCACCCTGACTGGGAATCCAACCGAGGACCTCTGGGTATATATCCAATTTTAGAAAAATCAGCCCCCCCTTCCTGGTTGGAGTAAGTCACTGAAAAAATAAAACAACCCACAAAAGGAAGGTTTGTTCCATCACTTGAGATTGCTTCATCCTTTCTCAAGCCCTGCCTGCTTGGCTTAGGCTAGCTTCCTCATCAAGGCAAACCTTACAGATGTCTGCAAACAGCGTATCTCTAAGGCAGTGGTTCTCAACCTTCCTAATGCCGTGACCCTTTAATACAGTTCCTCATGTTGTGGTGACCCCCAATTTTATTGTTACAAATTGAACATAATTAAAGCATAGTGATTAGTCACAAAAACAATATGTAATTATATATGTGTTTTCTGATGGTCTTAGGGGACCCCTGTGAAAGGGTCGTTCGACACCCAAAGGGGTCGCGACCCACAGGTTGAGAACCACTGCTAAGGGCTGCAGATGAGGAGAGATCCAGGGGGGAAAAAAGATAAAAATGATAGTCCCATTAGTTGAGCTGTTTTCCTTTTACAGATAAGTAACCTGAAGCATAGAAAGTGTGGGTTTCCCTTTGCAACTTGTCAGCTTGTTACCCTAGAGGCCAAAGTGAGGGGGCATTTGCGATGTCTTTTTTTAAAAAGTGTGCCCTCGCTCTAGCCGGTATGGCTCAGTGGATAGAGCGTCGGCTTGCGGTCTGAAGGGTTCCATTCCTGCCAAGGGCACGTGCCTGGGTTGAGGGCTGATCCCCAGTGGGGGGCGTGCAGGAGGCAGCCCCTCAATGGTTCTCTCTCATCATTGATGTTTCTATCTCTCTCCCTCTCCCTCTCTGAAATCAATAAAAATATTTTTAAAGAAGTGTGCCCTGGCCCTAACTGGTTTGGCTCAGTGGAGCGTCGGCCTGCGGACTGAAAGGTCCCAGGTTCGATTCTGGTCAAGGGCATGTACCTTGGTTGCGGGCACATCCCCAGTAGGGGGCGTGCAGGAGGCAGCTGATCGATGTTCTCTCTCATCGATGTTTCTCTCTATCCCTCTCCTTCCTCTCTGTAAAAAATCAATAAAATATATATAAAAGCAGTGTGCCCTGGTGGGGTAGCTCATTTGGTTAGAGCCTGGACCCCCCAG